AGTTAAGAAATATTATCATACCCCAAAACTAAATCATGTTTTTCTAAACAAAAGCAAAATTTAAGGCCAAAATATTTGTGAAAATTAATAATTTAATTACTTTGAGATATTTTAAGGGCAGTGAAGTACAACTGATTGCCAAAATATTTGTAAAATGTTATAACTTAATTACTTAACAATATTTTAAAAGATTTTATCTGTGCAAAACCATTGAAAGCAAACCTCGCTCTGGAAGAATTAAAGTTACAACTGAAAAGTCTGATAGATTATTAGTAAGGTATTCCAAAAAAAATCCTCACAATACTGCTGTTAAACTTAATTCATTTATACATCAGTTTCATGGCTCAACTGTATTGCTGATACAACTAAACATCGATTACAACAAAATAATCTGTATGGCCGTCATCCAGTTAAGAAATCGCTAAAATCTGCAAGAAATTTCAAAACCAGAATAAAATTTGCAAAAAATCGTATTGTTTGGTCAGTTGAAGACTGGTCAAAAATCCTTTTTTTTGATGAATTTAAGTTTATGCTATTTAGTAATGATGGAATTAGGTATGTTAAGAGCCCAGTAGGAGACAGTATTAGTTACCAACTATTAAACATGGAGGAGGAAATGTTATGTTTTAAGGATGATTTTAAATTTAGTTGTGACAATGTGGGTCCCATTCATCACATAGAAGGTATTATGGACCAGTGAGTTTATTTAGACATTATAAAGAATGTTATGAATTCACAAGCAAAGAATAAAATGATTAGCAAATGGGTCTTACAACAAGATAATGATCCAAAGCATTTTGCCTGATCTGTTAAAGAATATTTTAAATCATAAAAAATCAAAGTTCTTGAATGGACTTCACAGAGCCCAGATCTCCTTTTGAGCATCTTTAGGAGTATATCAACTAGCAATTAGTTGGTAGAAAAACAACCAGCAAAATGTTTTGAGAAATATTATGTTGGCATAATATTTCTCAAAACATTCTCAAAAAATTAGTAGATTCAATGCCTCGTCACTCTTATACTGTTTTAAAAGCAAATGGATATGCCATCAAATACTAAGTGTTTTATTAAAACTATTTTTTGTTAAAAATTGTTATTTTGTGAATTTTATTAAAAGTTTCAGCTTTTTAATAATAAATATTTATCAAATTCCGTTGTTTCTAAACTTTTGCAAAGAAGTTTTTTCAAAAAAAAAAAATTTTTTTTTTTGAAAAAATAATCAATTTTACAAATTTTGTGATTTGTATTTTAAATTAAAATAGTATATATATATGTTTATGTATATATATATATATATATATATATATATATATATATGCGCAATTGCTCACTTTTTTTGCTAGCCTAAATTAAGTGAGCATTTTTAGAAAACAATGAGGGAAAACGAAGAATAATGAATGAAAATGTTGCTGACCCATACCAAACCCTTAGTCGATGTAGCAGCATTCCACGGCGAGTCAGGCTATTTGTCAGTCGATGTATGTACTGAAGCCCCCGGCAGCAGGCTATTTGACATTAGGTGAGTGTGACATCATCATTCTCACCTAACTCAGCAGTATAAGATATATACATATATATATACATATATATACATGTATACATATATATATATATATATATATATATATATATATATATATATATATATATATATATATATATATATATATATATATATATATATATATATATATATATATATATATATATATATATATACTAGAGCGCTATATACATATATATATACATATATATAAGCATATATACATACATATTCTAAATACCCGCAGTCAATATAGTCCTAGCATGTTCTTCTCATTTAAATCAGCTGATGTATGTACACACTGCCGAAAAATATATATATATAAGATCAATAATAATAATAAAGTAAACTAGATAAATTAATAATATAATAAGATATTTGTTTATTAGTTTTGAGGCGTGGCTTACAAAGGAGCAGGTTCGAAACTGCCTTAAAAAATTTTTAACAATGCAAGGTCAAACTAGATCCAGTAGACCAACATAAGTAGATTTTAAGCATTTAAAGCAGCTTATTAAAAGCGTCTTGTGATTAACTGCTGCATAGTAAGCTAACATGGATCTACTTATGATACTATAGAATACAAACTGCACAAAATGAGAAAGACTTTAATCTTGGTGTTTGAATACCACATAAATTGAATGCTAGTCGGATATGTTGGTAAGTGGACACCTTTGCACCTCACGTTTATCTAGCTTGACCATGTTATCATGAGATAAGAATAGGATACTCTATATTAACTACACCATGAAGCTCTAGTGGATAGATCTGGAACAACTAATAAAAATTAATTCTAAAAGTTAATCTACACCTTAAAAAAGGGTGTAGATCAACCACAACTATAATAATAACTTACTGTGCTCAACTTGATCAGTTTTAAGCAACAAAAAAAAGTTTACTTCTTCCATAAAAACTAGTGATGCACCAATCGGACATTTATGGCCAAATCCGATACCAGTGAATATATTAATTAATTAAAATTTTTTTAAATTTAAAAACATACTATTTTAAATTGTGTAAAATTTTTCATGGAATCAGAACTGGTAAACAAATAGTTGGACCCAAATTAGAGCCAAACCTTTATTTTAAAAGATATAAGTAAAGCTCAGTTAAAATATATTTTTAGGTTTTTTCAACCATGAAAAGAAAACTTTTAAAAACTAAATACAATTTTAGAGGAAAGCTTTTTATTTTAATTTTTAAAAGAAAATGGTATTAAGTTAAGGGTTTGTCCGTAAATTACGTCAAGCTATAAGGGGAAGGAGGGGGGGGGGGGAGAGTGGTTCTTTGACAACTTATACAGAACTTGTTATTAAAGTATTATGTTGTGGTAATTAGAGAGAGGGTCAAAAAAGATCAAAAATTGCATAATGTAATTTATGGATGACCCCAAAGCAGTTTACTCAAAATTTTATACTCATTGTAAAGAACAAATAAATAAAAATTTTGTTTATATGAAATATATAATATTTTCTCAAAATAAAATAAGAGATTTCAAAATCAAATATCAAAATCAAATATCAAAAATAATAACTTCAATATTCTAAGAGAAGCACCAATAGCAGCTGTAACATTGTTTAGTATTTAAAATTGTGTATTTAGTATTTAAAATTGTAATTTAAAAACATAAGCATTTCTCCTGTTTCGAGAACCAAACCTATTTTGTCGTGGAGAATAAATTTGTCAGTAATTAATCGGTACATCACTAATAACAATGTCTGCTTTCACTCTGCCCAATTGGTACAGCAACAACTATTATAGATTGGCTGGCTAATGTTGTCTTATTTGCATTATTCTCTAACTTAGTGCCTAAACAGATTATTCTTGCTTCCAATCACTAAGCAACAGTTTATGCAATGAAAAATTAAACAACAAATAGGCACTCTGAGAGTCACTTAAATCATTTATTTAAAAACTAGTTTTAAAAGTTTTTTTTGCGTAACCGTTAGCAAAAATTTAAAGATGATAATGGTGCATATATTGTTGAAGATAAGTATGGAATTAAAAATAAATAATAAACTTTGTTTTTAAAAAAACACAAACTACCTTCAAGTCAACCCTAACTAATCATAAATAATTAAAAAAAAATTGAGGGTAATCTTAATAAAATGTAAAAAATAACATTAAAAAAAATGATAAAATCAGAAAATATCTTGGTTTTGAAGTGACAACCACAACATAATACTTTAATAACCATTTAAAACCCCAATATGAAATTTTCAATATGAAAAGAGGTTTTTTGAATATTAAATATTTGGCTTCAACAAAATTAAAAGTTTTTAAAACTTGTTCTACTATATGAGTTTATTCACAATCATTACAACAAATGTTAAATCATGTAACTTTTAAACACAGGTTTAACTATTACATAGTCAGTTAAAATATAAATAAATATATTTTTAAAGATATGGTTAAAGATTAAAATTAATTGATTTACAAATAGTTAAATATAATATAAGAAATAATAGAATTGATAAGCAAATAAATAAATAAAATCTTTAAATGTATTAGAAATAGAAACAATAAATGAACTGGTGATGCTTTGAGGGAATTTTTTTTTGAACTAAAATTTGAATTAGAACTTAAACTGTTTATGAACTAGATTGAAAGCTCACTTGTATGATTTTCATTACTCTTTTTAATATTTGGATTTTTAACACACATATTTATTCATGTTACATACTTTCCTTGTATGTAACATTAAATTTTCTTGTACCAACATTACATACATTACATGCTGAATATCGTAGAAAGCTTTAAAAAGCTTTTGACAAACACAATCTAATTGCTAATACACACAGAAGATGGTTTAGACAATTCAACAACAAAAAAAACTGATGCTCAATGCTAAGTAAAAAAAATTTAGATAATGAAGAAATATAATTATTTCTGGACAAAGATAATTGTTAAAATATTTTTATGAACTGCCAATATGGGTACAATTTTTCTTTTAAAATTAAAGTTATATGAAAGTAACCTTAAGGAACAGAAGAAAATAAAGATTTTTTTAAAAACTTTTATTCTAAAATAATGAGCTTTTCATATAGATACGCATTAACTTAAGAATTTTCATTTAAGATGATCCATGTTGAGATTTTTGATGATCCATGTTGAGATTTAAGATGATCTATGTTGAGATTTAAGATGATGCATGTTGAGATTTAAGATGATCCATGTTGAGATTTAAGATAATCTATGTTGAGATTTAAGATAATCTATGTTGAGATTTAAGATGATCCATGTAGAGAATTAAGATGATCTATGTTGAGATTTAAGATGATCCATGTTGAGATTTAAGGTGATCTATGTTGAGATTTAGCCAATAAAAAAATAATTTGATTTTTCAAAAATGTTGATATTGATAAATAAAATTGTGGAACATTAAATGTTATGCTACACAGTGTAATAAATAATAAACAGACTAGTTTTAAGCTTTTATAAAGAAAAAAACTGTACAAACTTTTAGGTTAGCATTATTAAGCATTTCCTGCCAAGCTGGTTCAAACAATGCAGGGTTGTTTAATAATTTATCCTCAGCAATCGAAATCGTTTTACGGGCACCTTGATGCATATCACAAGCTCTTTCATATGCTATTACAGCACTGGAACATTGCAGCTGTGCCTGTAAAAGAAAATTTATTGTTATAGTTTTGTGACCAAGAAAAAATTACTTTTTTAAATCAATCAATTTACGAAACAACATTTGACTGATAAAAAAGATATATGGGTCAGTGATTGTTTAAAATAATTTGTATGACTAAACTTCAGATAGGTAAAAATTTTTGTCTACTCTGTCATAAGAATTATTAATAACTATTACTCTGTCATAAGAACTACCACTAAACATTTGATTTTATCATAATTTACTTTATTTCCTGTTTTTCTCTTTATCTTCTTTTTTAAATGCATTAACCTCCTTAAGGCTGTCAAAAAGACTATATATTTTTTAAACTATAAGTACTCAATATTACACAACTGTCTCTAAACACTACTCAACCCTCACACATGATTACTCAACCCCCTCTTAACACTACTTAATTTTTTCTTAACACTAACACAGATAAGAAACAAGTTACATGTGGTACTACCAGGGATATCATAAGTATCAAGTTTGAAAACTTTTTCTTATGAAGTAAGCTTATAAATGTACCTTCATTGAACTATTGTACACCTATGGCAGGCCTTGTTTTAAAGTGGTACCCAGTCTTTCACAAGAAGTCATGCGATCGCACATTATTATATGACCAGGCAAATCACATTTTGCTTTGACTTTTTGACCACAGCTATTTAAAAAAAACATTATAAAAACGTGCTGAATGAAAAATATTCTGAATTATACTTAGTGTTATACTTATATAAGTGAAATAAATTACTATCTAAACTTCTTAACAAACATTTTTATATTAGCGAATCGCTTTTAAAGATAGTAACAGTTCACTGATAATGATTTTCTTTTAAGTATAATTGACAGTTGTATATAATTTATATTATATAAATTGTTTAAGTGTGCATTTTTTATAATAAATACTATATAAACGTTTTAGATAGCTGTTGCAATAAAGTAAGTTTGATCTTAAATGCTTTTATATTATCAAAACGCTTTTTAATGAGGAAACAAAACATTTCTAATGAATTTTCATATTAAAAAAAAAGTACAAATATTAAAACAAAGAATGAAATGGTTTTTTAAAGCGTAAATTAAATAAACTAAGCATTTTAGTTTGAAGAGTTTTGTTTTAGTTGGGTTTTATATATAAATATATATATATATATATATATATATATATATATATATATATATATATATATATATATATATATATATATATATATATATAATGAATATATATATATATATATATATATATATATATATAAATATATATATATATCAGGCTTGGTCGGGAAGCAGGAGTGATGGCTCTCGAATACTGACCACGGAAATTATTTTTAGTTGCGAAAAACTGGCCAGGTTTTTTAGTCGTTTTGAGAACATTTAAGTTTATGTACGAAACAAAAATTTTTTGTTTTACGGACATACATGGAAACATAATAAACTTGAATGTTCTCAAAACATCTTTGTGCAAAAAAATAAAAAGAATATTCGCGAACACTAAAAACCCGCCAAATTAATGAAGAAACTAATTCTATTGGTTCAAAAAATATGCTGATTTTGCAAAATAAAGTTCTAGAGTATTCTGTTGAAATGTTTTAGGAATTGTATAACTCACGATTTGTTACTTTTTGAGATTTCTAGTTTTCTTGTTTTAGAAATATATATTATTTGTTTACAAAAATAAATATATTAAATATATATTAAATTGTCAAAATTTCTAGTTTATTATAAATTATGGATTTTATTAGTATATTCTTATTTTTTATTTAAAAAGTATGTAATCTTTATGCAAATGTAATTTGTGTATCTGTTTTTTATCGTAATGTATCTTTTCAAGCAATTTTTATGATTTAAACAAAGACTTACAAAAATAATTGCGTTTTCAATGAAGTTATAATCGTTATAGTTAATAAAACTAATTATGTAACAAACATATAAGAAGTTTCTGGTTACTAAACACAAACAACTCTTACAAAGTATCTCGCGGAAGAACAAGCACCGTGCCTGAAGTCACAACAGAACACAAATATATATAGCAAATAATTAGATATTAAGAAAAGTTTCTATATATTGGTTTACTAACTCAAATTGTTTTCGCTTAAGTTGCCATTCTTGAAACTCGTTATACTTTTTTCTGTTTTAAAATACTAATTAAAATTAAAAAGCCCACTCACTAAACATCATTAGCGATATTGTGAAGCAGTTTCGCTTCCTAGTCATAAAGTATTTTTAACTTTTTTAGTTGATTTCTATTTTGTTAATTAAATTTCTATAGTAATTCAATGATTTATTTATTTCATTTGTTTATCTTAATAAGAAGAATTGCTTCAAATATGTTAAACTTTTCAAACTACGCGAAACATAAAACAGGTATTGAAAAATTACCTTTTTTATTTATAAAATAGTTTAGCTTAAATAAAACTAAAACTTGCAAACTTTGCTAAATAAAGAGCATTTGTTTCATTTTTAAACAATCGTAAGTTGCTACTTTATATAAAAAACATCGCTTTATATACTTTATATAAAAAACATCACTTAATTTTATAAAAAAAATTATAAAAGAGCAATGTTTCGAAAATATTTGTTCTAAACGTAATTTATTTAGGTTTAAGTTTTTTCGTGTTTAAAGATATTTTATTTGCCTAAATTTTTTTTTTTTTGTAATTGTCTCTTATCGGTCCAATTAACCTTTTGCGCTTTTTTTTTTTTTGCTTTTTAAAACGTTCTCAAAACGACTAAAAAATCTGGCCAGCTTTTCGCAACTAAATATTATTTAAGTGGTCAGCAATCGAGAGCGATCGCTCCAGCTTCCCGACCAAGCCTGATATATATGTGTACATACATATATATATATATATATATATATATATATATATATATATATATATATATATATATATATATATATATATATATATATATATATATATATATATGTATACAAACATATATATATATATATGTTTTTGCTTTAGTTAAGTATTTTTTTAATTTTCTCTTAGTAAAAAAAGTTTTAGATAAGTTTTGGTAAGTTTGGCACTTTTTTAAATTTTAAAAATATGTCGAAGGACATGGTCAAATCATCAAAATCAAAGTATTTTTTGTCATATAATTTTGGTTAAGCAACTTTTTAACAGGGTTAGGGTTAGGGTTAGCGTTAGTTTACATTATTCTATAAGCGGTAAGATAAAAGAAGTAACTAATTTTGAAAAAAATCACATTAACTTTTGAATGACAAATATATGTAAAAACATTTGTTACAAAATTTTGAATGACATTTACGTTAAATATAAGCGCTGTTTACTAATCAAAAAAACTCAAATAAAATTAAAAATTTTTTTTTATTTTTTTTTCATTTTATGTTAATGATTAATTTTTCCATTGAAAAATGCTAATACTTAAAAAGGATCCCGAACCATTTTAATTTAAGTTGAAGATTGTCTTCTCTGTTTTATTGTAGGCTTAAAAGTCAGCATAATATATGCCACAATCTACAGACTTGATAATTAATTCAAGCGCATTTTATTCTAAGTAATAAAAATAAACTATCAAATCTGTAGATTGCGGCATATATTATGTTGAACTTTTCTTAATTGAGCAAAAAAATTATACACAGCAGTTAAGATAATAGATTCAACTAGAAAAGATCCACCGCAAAAAACTTCCACTGTTAAGAGGTTAAGAGATATTTGATCAAGAAAGAACAAATTTGACCTTAACCTTGAATAGTAGGATACTAATTAACTAAATACATACATACTGACTTTTATATCACATTCATCATCAGCTACTAACAATGAATGTTATGTAGACTATTACCCTAATTTTATTTTTTCAATTTCTTGGTCTATGTCTCAAACCAAAAGATCTGGACTTAAACAGGCAACTAAAGTTTTGGCTCTGAGACACATGATCTTAATCGACACCTTGAAACTAAAGATTTAAATTTTAAAACTAGGATCATTCAAAGAAAATGAGCCCTAAAATCTAAAATATGATAACAGTTATGATCAAGGTATAAACAAATTTAATAATTTATAGTAATTTCAAGCTCGATATAAACATAACAATATCAATATCTTAGAATATTTTAAAAACAATATAAGAGACAAAGGAATTTTATAACAATATAAGTGATGATGATGAAATTTGATGACAATATAAGTGATGAATATAAAACTTTGCATAAAAAATTTCACTCACATTTTACACACATCAATCAAAGAGTTTTTATTGATAAAAACCAAAAAAATAATTGGTCACTTATTTATAATCCCAATAGGTTGTCCTTTTGATATAAAATGATGCTCTCACAAATTGTCGCAATATATAAAAATCATTTCAGTAAACTCATATAAAAGGTAAAGTTGCTGGAGCTAAATTATTTTGAATAACTTGACTTTTTCTACTGATAGAAATTTCATTTTTATCAAAAAAATTGTTAATGTAATTAGACCAAACCTATTTTCAAAAATATTTATCACAGTTATGATATACTGCTATGCTATAATAATATACACTGCTATGCTATAATAATATATCTTGCTATGCTATAATAATATACCTATAAACATATACACTGCTATGCTATAATAATATACCTTGAATGTTCTCGTACCTCAACAAAAAAACTTTCTTGTGATAATTACAAATAATTTCTATGGGATTTACTTTGAATCTCAAAAAAAAAGCTCTTGGTTTAGTTCAGAGAATTCTTTAAAACATTTACTTTTTTTTAGAATTACTAAATTTAATAAGATAGCACTGTTCAATTAACACTTTACCAATAGAACAAGGTCAGGCATACCCAGGATCTCAGGCATACTATTCAGCATCAGGCATACTACACATCAGTTTTTTATTACTCAGTTTTAAAAATTTGGCTTTATTAGTACTCTTTAGATTATGAATATTTAAAAACAAAAAAAATAGCAAATTATTTAAAAAAAATATTTATATAGAAAATATACCTGATTATTAGAGACTATCTTTTTAGATTTTAAATAAGTGTCTACTACTCGATTGAGGCGTATAAGAAATCTTAAGAAAAGAAAAATATGCCATCTTAGGTAAAAAAATGCTTTGCATTGGAATTCAATTTAAAAAAATCTTGATCCAGCTCATATTGATGACTTTTAAATGCAGGTCTAGGGTTTTATTTTTCAGGTTTATCTTTTATTTATTTATCATTTATTATTATTTTCAAGTTTTTTTAGTTTAAAGTGTTTTTTGAAATTTTTCTATAAATTTTTTAAGAGCATTTCAAACACAAAAACAAGATAGCCAAAAGGTCTTCAGATTTTTTTTTCTTCTTAATTTGTTCCATGGACATAAATTACTCTATACCTTTATTTATAAAGTAAGCAGTCTATCATGCTGCTAATTTTTTTTATTATTTTTATCAAATTTATCTTGTTCAAAATACAAAGGTTTTTAAGCTCACTTTGTTATGAGTTGTAACTTGGTAGCTTTAATATATATTTGCTTAATATTTAAACTGTGTTAAATAAATAACATAATTATTTGCAATCATTTTAAAATGTACTTTCTATAATGCCTTCAAATGTCTTTTTCTTTTATCTATAATGCATGCAAATGTATTTTGCTTCTATCTATAATGCCTGCTAATGTCTTCTCCTATCCACAATGCCTAGAAACATATTCTTCTGTATATTATCTATGTTCTGTAAATATCTTTTTCTACCAACTTTATTAACTGCAAATGCCTTCTAGCTATAATGTCTGCAAAGTACAAATACAAGTAACTGAATAGCAGAATTACATATTTTATATATACTAGTTAAATTTAACAAACTATATTTCTTTCTAAAATAATAGTTGATGTTATTATTTATACTAGACATGAATATACATAAAACAAAATAGTGAATGTGTATAAAAATTAGGAAAAAAACCTTTTTTGTCTGCTCTAGCAGCTCAAAGTATGGCCTTGCTTTATCAATACTATTTCCTAATGATTTTGATAACTGCTGAAGATCACGAGTAGCATCATTTAACTTTTGACGGAAAACAGTTCGTGCTTCCTGGAAAATTAGTAATAATAAATTGCAAATATTTTGTGAAGAAAAAATAGAAACAATAGAAAAAGCTGAATGTAAACATTTTGTAATTCAAAATTAATAAACAAATATCAATGCAAAATATTTAAACATACATCAAGTTCTTTTTCCAAAATATTAATCAAGTCTGAAGCGCTGTTTAATTTTTCAAGTTCAATCTGAAAATGAAAATTCTATTATAGATAAAAGAACCAGATAATAACTGTAAATTAAACAAAATTTAAATTGACGACATTTAAACTAACAATTAACTAAAGTCATATTAACATTTACATGAAATAATTCAACATGAATTAAAAATGAAAATGTTATTTTCTTTAGAAATATTAGTGAACTTTTTTGTTTTAAATTAGAAGTTTTGACAGTAGCAAAAATTTTATTACTTTTACTAATTTTTACTACTGTTAAAAAAAATGTTATTGATTAGTAAAATTGATTCATTAAAGCTTTTTGTATTTATTTTTATCATATAAAAATTAAAATATAAAAACATTTATAAATAATAATAAAGTTGAATGTTTTTGAGATTGAGCAGATGTAGGGTTTCTCGAACAATAAAGTAGCTCTCATACAGACTGATTTCAATGACAACTGTAAAATATTTGTAAATTAACAGTGCTGGTGCACTCAAATGATATTTCTGTTGGTGCTTTTGATACGAATTGTCGAGGGTGTGGAACCTTTGGTACAACTTATTTCAATATTTGTTATCTTTTTTTATATACTCACCACTTATAAAATTACCAGAACTGCTTGTTTTCTGTAACTTTTACACATTTTTCTTACATTAAAACTTTTAATCTTACATTTACATAATGTATTATCTTACATATTATTTTATTATACATATTATTGTTATTATTAACTGTTTAGAGATTTAGAGTCAGGGTTGGCATTAAAAAACCTGCCTAATAAAACCCACCTAAAAAAACCCAAGAAAACCCAAGAAAATCTGGGTTTTATTGGGTTTTTTTTTAAGATATTCAATAATTTTATGAACTATTATAACCAACTTTAACATTATAACTATAATATTATTAACTAAAATAATTATTAACTATTATTATTAACTAAATTATTATTAACTACTACTATTAACTATTATTATTAACTATTATAACCAACAATAACAGCTATCAGAGCAGGTTTACTTATATTTGAATCATTATTTGGAAATAAATTATTAGAATTTTTATTTAAATACTTTTATCGCTTTAGATTTTTTAATCTTTTGTTATTCACCTCCCAAGGTGAAATTAAATAAATAGTAGTGGCCAGAGAAGCCCACTACAGTCATGGAGGCTACCTTATTGTGGTTACAACCCTCTCTCAACTCTTTAATTCCTAAACATGAACCTTTATAAACAAGGCTGCTGTGCGGAGAAACAAGTTTGTTCATTCAAATTTCTAGTTCAAAGTTTAATTAAAACTTCAGTTACTACCTCCCATTCTCTAGCCTTCTTTTTTCCATTTCTCATTGACATTTTTAATTATACAGAATAATACTTTTAAACTTAAAATAAATCAATACATATAGATTTAATGTGTAACTTTTTTTTTTCCTATTACAATTTTAAATTATATTTAAAAATCTTTTTCAAAATAATTTGAAAAATTCTTGTAATAAATTATTAAATAACAATATATAAAATATATTTTAAATAAAGTTAAAGTAGAAAATAAAACTAATTTTCAATATCACTAAACAAAAAAACAAAAATTTTTTTGACAGAGACAAAATAAAAATAAAACCCAAAAAAGCATAAACTTACCCAATGAAACCCAAAAAACACACTGGGCCGGGTTTTTGATAACCCTGTTCAGAGTGCACAAAGAAGTTGTACAAACAACAAATTGTCCAAGATTATTTTGTCATTAATTTATACTACAAATTACGTTTCAGCAATTTAAATTTAAACATTGTATTTGTAAACGTGTCAGTTATGTACTTTCAGTACTTGATTTTTGCATTTGAATGTCTTAGAGATAAATCAAGTTTACATACAAATTTTTAAAACTTTTAATTATTGACCTCTCTCAACCTAATAGTTTCAAAACTTTTGTGGGGGTGGCAGATTTGCATACAAATCCAAGCATTCTACCATTGGTGTTTATTGTAAAGCCTAGTCTATAAAATGACTTTATGAGCAATGTATAACAACTCTAATATATGAAATGGGTACAGTGTTAATATTATGAATGCATTTAGACCATGCTATGTCTTTTTAAAAAAACCTGTTTCTCACTAAAGTTGTGAAAACTTGATTAACATTGATTGAATGGTAATGGAACAAAGAATATTTTAGCAAATTTGACAGCAGAACAGGCATTTAAAAATGCAAAACTTAATAATAAGATAAGCTACTCGTTAAAAATATAGGTTATATCAACATGCCTTATATAACCACAGATACAATTTTTTTTTGACAATTTGGCCACAGTTTTTTGCATTCAAGTTATTCAAAAAACCAAACTAATTTAAAGGGAAAATTAAAAATAAATAAACCATAAACTGAAAAGAGAAACTAACTTAACAAATGATTAAATAAATAAAGGATAAGCTAGAGAAAACAAAAGCATAAAACTAATATATTTTCTAATATAAATTTAAAAGCATCTTAATTAATAAATCAAACTTAATTAACATAAAAGCGTTCCAATTAATAGTTTAAAGCTAATAATTTTTCATTTATCGCCATGTTTTTGTAGCACATAGGTTGATTAACTGTTTAATTTATGTGGTGCACTTATATCAGCGAGAGTTTTGATTACTTTCGATTACTAAATTCTATAATAAATATAAATCTAATTAAGATGATGATTAAACTTAATAAACTAAAGACTGTTTTTTAATAACAGTTATTTTATTAAGTTAATTAACTTAGAAATCATTTATAAATAAGTAATGATGACACCAGCAACAGCTGCAGGGTTTTGAACAATGCCCTAATGTTGATTGAAGTATAAAAAAAAGATTTTGTATTTAGTGCCTTGATACAAAAATTCACTGATTTCAACCAATATTTGTTTATGATTGCAAACTATGATTGCAGCCAATATTTGTTCAAATATCACTGACGACCATTAATTTTCCAGATGATTCATTTCCAGATGAGAATTTCATCCAATTTAGCGAAGCATTCAGCGTACTTTTTATCAAGAAGTGAACCTGACAGCGTTTTTGCGCACGATATTGATGATGCATCGATGGATTAAGTGTTCAAATCCTTGAAAGCTTTATAATCAACAAGACGAAGAGATATTCTAGTTCGGAAAAAGAAATTTGCTAATCAATTTCTTTTTTGATTCTACCGAATTCATTACATTTTTGACTAATTCAAATGATTAAGCTGAGATTATGATGTCGCTGTTAAATTTGATTGATGATTTGGCTTTTTGTTTTGCAAGCAATTGTTTCTCATCTTCACTAGCGTTTGAACATGATGTTCGTTTAAGTGCTGTGACACAATCTTTTGCCTATTGAACTGTCTTTTGGCAGGCAATGCAAGCTTAGTTCTCTTTACTATATCAAGATTTTCCAAATATCTATTTATTGTAAAGGTTTCCATTGTCTTTCTGTTTGAGGAAAAATATCTAATTAACCTATAAATTTTTATATTTTTCATTGTTTTACTTATTTCTTTAATTAAACTACTTTTATAATTAAAAAGATAAAATCATTATTTGTGAAAGTGTTTTAATTAAAGAGATTTAAGAGTGGAATTAAGAGTTATTAACTTTTAATTCCACTATTGAAACTGATGATTTTTACCAGGCTAGTACCAAAAACACATCAATAAAAAATTTCATGAAAACTAAAATTAAAATTTGTTTATTCATATGTCTGTTTAATCAAAACAATTTAACGGTTTTTAATGATTTAAAATTAAAAAAAAGTTATGCACATAATCATACAAATGCATGTGCATAACTTATCAGCAAATATTTGTGCATACAAAATTTTACAAGCCCTACTTTTAAATTAATACAAAATCATATTAATTTTATGCTTTTATTTTTTCTTGTTTATTTTTTATTCATTTTATCATTTGTTAAGATTTTTTTTTTTAATTAGTTTTTTTTTTTTTTTTTTTTTTAATTTCTATTTCCAGTTTATAGTTTGTTTATTTTCAATTTTAGTTTAAGTTCACATTTGTTTATTCAGCGCCTTTTTTAAACTTGCTAACTTAAAACGTGCTGCGGTCAAGTTATCAAAACAAAATACCAAGTGCGTGGTCATATAAGGCGTGCAACCACGCAGCTTTGCTGAGAAGGCTTGGGTTATATGTACGTATGTGTGAGTGTGTGTATATATATATATATATATATATATATATATATATATATATATATATATATATATATATATATATATATATATATATGTATATATATATATGTATATATATATATATATATATTTATATATATATATATATATATATATATATATATATATATATATATATATATATATATACATATATATATATACATATATTAGCAGTCATAAATATATTAAACAAAAACTCAACATAAACACATAAACAGCCATAAGAAAAAATTTAAAAACAAATCAGCTGTCAACAGTACTTTATTATATTTTAAATGTGGACAATTTTTAATTGATTCATTAAAGAAGTTTACTTGTTTACTTCTAATTTAGTATTGGCATAAAAGTGTTATTGAGCAACAGCTTCACGCTGAAGATTCTTCATAAGGATGCACTGTTCTGCTCTTTCAAAATACAATGTACAATTATCAGAAGCTGCGCACTAAATGAATCAACATAAACAAGTAGAAAACATAATAAAACAAATAAAGCAAAATAAATTGCTGAAACATTTTCAAGCATTTTGAGTTTTGTGAAAAAAAAAACTATTCCATTGAAAAAACATTTTATTAAATTTATCTATACATAACACTATAATTAATTTAACTTATTGATAATTATATTAGGAAACACTAGTGCTATAGTCAATTAAAAAGCATTAAATAAGACAAATTTAGTATACTTTGGTGTAAGTTACTTTGTGGCATGGTAAAAAACTCAAATATTTGTATGGCTAAACTGGTGTCAAATAAAAATACTTTGCAAAAATCAACTTTTATTAGTTTTTATAACAAGTTTTGCGGTCACCACACCCAAAAGAGGAAA